TGCAAAATAGCAGACTGAGAAACACCACCAGGGGTTAGAAAGCCAAGGTGCCCCCAAATCAGTACGTCTCAGCAAAACCCCAGCCAGAAACCACCAAGTTTCACAAAGGCCTATAAATAACACAGAACAAACAAGCCAGGAGAGCAAAAAGGAAATACTGACAATAGAACCAGGCCCTTAGGGGTGGATGGGAGGCTGGGGAAAGCACGGCCTGCACACCTGTCACCCTGGGTTCAGGCATCTCCTGTCCCCCTCGAGCTGTAGCACCAGGACGCAGAAGTGACTTAACTGCTCTGGATCCCAGATTCCCCTCCTTCTGGGACAATAATGTAATGCCCCATCTATATTATGTAATTATGTACTATGTTATCACTATTATCATTACTGTTATTATTTACTACTCTATTATTACTCTGTTCAGGAGGTTCAAATAAAATAATCTAATGGCCGTGCTTTGAGAAGCTTAATGTACAAAAGTCCCTGTTGTTTTTTTTATCATATTTACAGAACACCACATAGATTTACCATGAAGGAGAATCATTTTACTCCCCTTTTCCAAAGTCTACTTTAAAATCCTGGAATATTTTCAGTAAATTTTTATAGCAAATCTCATACCCAGATATTCAAAAACTCCATGTTACGTTTTTGAAGTAAACACTGGTTTCATTCATTTAATCTCCATTGAAGGCAACAGAAGAGATTTATTAATAGCCTAGTAACAATAAGTTTGGGCTCTAGGTTCAAATCCCAGCTGGTTTTTTTTTTTTAAACGAAAGAGGTGACCGTGGGTAAGACATTGAACCTCTCCTTGCACCTTTTTTCTCATCCATAAAATGGCAACAACGAAAGCATCTAACTAGGGGTTGTTATGATGATTAAATAAAATAGATTAGTCAGGATGTCTGATATATAGCTAGCAATCAACAAATATTATCTATTGTTATTATCTTAAAAGGAAAACAACTAAAGGAATATATCTTTCGTAAGACCTTCTTTCACTAATACTAGAGATATCCTAAACAAGGGTTCCCGCTAAAATAATAAGGGGGAGAAAGTCAGTTCTAAAATAAATAAAGTCCTTGAAAAGATGAGCTATGAACAAAATCAGCTATTCATTTCTTAACGTTATTTTTTTAAAGTATCCAAGACTTACAAAATAATAGTACATGCTGAGATTCATGGAAAAAATGGCCAGAGAAACAAGGAAAATGCATTAAAAAAATAGATAAGTGTATACACCAAACAAAATTGATCAAACTGAATGAACTATCAATTCCAAAGGCCCTAAAGTTTGTTCCACACATGTTCTAGCAACCAAAAGTAGGGGCCAAGATTTGTGAGGTGGCATAGGTCATGCAAGTTAAGTACTTATTAAATTACTTCTCCTAGTGCTAATTTTACAAGCAGTTTGAAGAAATAAATTTACTTGGAATTGAGACACTGAACACTAATGACTAGAAAGCCAACTGCACACAGAAAAAGTACAGCAATATTGATCAACTCGTCCAGGGATCAGAAAGTTTAGTCATCCTTTTCAGCAAATATTTACCATCTACAATTGGCCAGGAACATGTGAAACCATAAGAAATACAAAGAAGGATAAAGCAGTCCCTCCCCTTAAGTTTCTTAGTCTAATGTCGTAAACAAAATGAGATGAAAGTTTAACACAGTTCTTTCATGGGTAAACACACAGTAGCAGCACCTAACTCAGTCTTAAGGGGACGCGGAAGGATTCTCAGAAAAGGTGATATTGAACACGAAGCCAGGAAGAGTCAGAGTGAACTAGAGAAAGGGCTGAGCGTGGCATGAAGAGTCTTCTAGACAGAGGGAACAGCATATGCAAAATGTACATCAGATCACCACTTTACCACTCCTTACTGTCTGATGGCCTCCCATCACACTTAAAATAACATTTTTGATATCATGGCGGTAAGGGCCCTTCACGATTTGGTCCCAGCTTATCTCCTACTCTCCCCCTTACTTCCGGCTCTCTGGACACATTGGCCTCCTTGCTGTCCTAAACTACATAGAGCATATTCCCACCCGAAGCTTTTACCCTTGCTGTGTCCTCTGCCTTGGATGCTATTCCGCCAGATACACACAAGGCTCACTTTATTCAAATGCCACCTCTTCAGGGACGTCTTCCCTGTCCCCCAGTCTAAAATACCTCGTCACCCTCAGTGAGTCTATTTCTCCTTCTATACTGAAAATCACCCATACTAAACTACATTCCTCTTAATGTCTGCCTCTTCAACTAGAATGCAAGGACTTCCCTGGTGGCACAGTGGTTAAGAATCCGCCTGCCGGGCTTCCCTGGTGGTGCAGTGGTTGAAAGTCCGCCTGCCGATGCAGGGGACACGGGTTCGTGCCCCAGTCTGGGAGTATCCCACATGCCGTGGAGCGGCTGGGCCCGTAAGCCATGGCTGCTGAGCCTACGTGTCTGGAGCCTGTGCTCCACAGTGGGAGAGGCCACAGCAGTGAGAGGCCCACGTACCTCAAAAAAAAAAAGAATCCGCTTGCCAATGCAGGGGACATGGGTTCGATCCCTGGTCTGGGAAGATCCCACATGCCGCACAGCAACTAAGCCCGTGTGCTACAACTACGAAGGCTACATGCTGCAACTACTGAAGCCTGTGTACCTAGAGCCCATGCTCCGCAACAACAGAAGCCACCACAATGAAGAGAAGCCCGCGCGCCACAGTGAAAAGAAGCCCACGCCCCACAACAAAGAGTAGGCCCTGCTCGTCGCAACTAGAGAAAGCCCACGCACAGCAACGAAGACCCAAGGTCCATGAGGGCAGAGGTTTTGTCTATCTTTGGTCCAGGGCACATTTCCAGTATATAACTATAACTGTGCCTGGCAGGTGGTAAGGGCTCAATAAATATTTGTCGAATAATTAATGAATTAATAAATGCCCTGAAGGCAGAGAGGAGACTTGGATGGTCTAGAGACACAGTTTAGTGTGAATGGCACATAGGATGTAAGGGGAGAAGCAACAGAAGGTAGGGCTGGAGTAAGTATTTTCTAGAGGGTATGAACAACTTTTTTCAACTTTTCTTATCATATTCATCCCATTAGTAAGAATAGTTCTCTAGGGACTTCCCTGACGGTCTAGTGGTTAAGACTTTGCCTTGCAATGCAAGGGGGTGTGGGTTCGATCCCTGGTCGGGGAGCTAAGATCCCACATGCCCTGGGGCCCAAAAACCAAAACAAGAAACGAAGCAATATTGTAACAAATTCAATAAAGACTTTAAAAATGGTCCACATCAAAAAATCTTTAAAAAAAAAAAAAGAATAGTTCTCTATCAGACGTTTCAATTATTGCTAATCCCTGCTCCCATAAAGTGGTTACCCAGATCCCAAGAGATAATGTGTAGCTAGGGAAGAGTATTACAGGGTCCCCTGGCTTCCTTCCATGGAAATGACATGTATGTTTTTGACAACATAAATTCTTATAGTTTGAAGAGACCATCAGGGTAATCTAAATACTTAACATCAGCGAGAATTTTCCAAAAGGAACTAAGAAAGTAAATGAAAGCAGCGACAAAACATATATACACACTCAAGCAAACAAATGGAGGTGTTGATGGATCCCTTCCATTCAAATTCATGTGAGTCAGGGAGATGAGGGATTTTCTGTACTTTGATATAGAAAGCAAGGAATAAGAGAACTGGGAGAACTGGTACATATTGGGCATTAATTGGTTGGCCAATGCCAGCTCCAGAAACCGAAGTGAACAGAACTGGGACAGAGGTAGAACACAGGACAGACAGAATCAAGAATCATCATCAGTGTCATGTTAATATCTGCAATGGCTATCCTCCATGGGGTCTGACAACATAGCAGAGTTACTGAACCAATTATTTAAGTACTTGACACAATGTATTCTTTTAATTCCCAGGACAGCGCTAACTACCTAGGAGGGAGGTGCTATCACCCACTCCCGTGTCATAAAAGAGGACACTGAGGTTTACAAAGGTAAGGTAACAGGGCTAGAACTCAAACCCTGTCTGGCTCTTAACCATCTGCTACTTAATCTGACCACCCAGATGCAGCTCCCTCATGCACCATCCCACTTATAGAGTGGGCTCTTTTATGTTATAAATACATGTTTTGAAAGGCAGTCAGAGTTAAGGAAAGGGTGCCACTGCACCTGCACTCTTTTCTCGAATGGTTGCCCTGAAAAAAACAAGGAAGGTAGGGTGAGAAAGGGACCACGGAAACAGCAGATCAGCTCAGAGACAAACCAACTGGGAGATTCCATGTCCCCCAACCAAATACTCCCGGGCCACAGTATATTCATCTGTTACAAAGAGCTGAGAGATTATTCCTCTTCCACCACCCTGCTATCTGAAGTTCTCTCACTATTCATCTCTTGACCTGAACTTGAACTTCCCCTGTACTTGACACAGCTTCTCTAGCCATTTAAAAGACTAAACTTCTAAGTTATATACTAGAAGATACTTAAAATACTTAATAGAGAACTGGCAACTGCATCACTTGATGGCAAACATTAAGTGCCGACCTTCTGTTTTCACTTCTGGAGTTTTGTTAAATCGACTTAAATGTAGAAAGTGCTATTTAAATAAATTCTTTATTAAGAATCTTATGAAATCAACTTAATTTCTGGTAAAGAGAAAAGCAAGTGAATGATCGAGTTTTCTCATATTAAAAGGAACAGTTATGGGCTTCCCTGGTGGCGCAGTGGTTGAGAGTCCGCCTGCCGATGCAGGGGACATGGGTTTGTGCCCTGGTCTGGAAAGATCCCACGTGCCGCGGAGCGGCTGGGCCCGTGAGCTATGGCCGCTGAGCCTGTGCGTCCGGAGCCCGTGCACCGCAATGGGAAAGGCCACGGCAGTGAGAGGCCCGCGTACCACAAAAAAAAAAAAAAAAAAAGGAACAGTTATGTAACCATTCCACATGGAAGGGCCAGGCTGAAGTCAAAATGACAAAAGACTGAAATAGCCCTGCTTCTCACTACAAGATTACAGAACATACTTCTCATACAGCCTCTGTCCTCTCACGAAGGCCTTCACTTCGTTGTCCAATGGGAAGGTGCCATCATCCTTTCTAAAGCGATAGAAGAGTTTGACATCCTTGAATTCCTTATGCTCATCACACACTGAAAGGCAACATACACAGAGAGGCAAATAAGAAAATAAACCTCTTATTTAATTACTCAAATGAAGGAGGATGCTAATTAAGATTTGTTTTATTACCTAATTTCTCAAGCACATTACGATTTAATACACAGTAAACTATTTAGCACAGTACCTGGCACAGAAAAGTGCTCAGTTTTATTAGCTATCATCATCATCATCATCATCTGTTAAAAGAGTCACAAAATTCAATTCATCATTCTTTCTACAAACTCTTCTTGAGCATGATATTGGGGTAGGCATCAGCCTCAAAGAATATGAAATCTAGCGAGATTAAAAGAAATGTCGACATGTCATTAAAATATGGCGTGATCAGGCTATGAAAGAGCTGAGGAGATATTCAGTGGGAGCCCAGAGGAGCACCCAGTACCCCAGCTTTGGGGAAGGTACACGTCTCTGAAGAGTTTGAATGTTAGTGGAGACCTGAAGAATGAGTAGAAAACAAGCAGAAATGCAGACAGAGGGCATTCCAGCCCAAGAGAATAACAGCATGCGAAGGTCTTGGCCAGGATTAGAGATTTCAAGGAGACACGTTCATGAATGTTCACTGAACCACTGAGAGTAACAGCAAAAACTTAGAAACAGCTTAAATGTTTGTGAGTAGAATGGATAAAGGTGTGATGGCATACACTGCAGCGAAAATGAGCAAACAAGATACACTATCAACATGAGTGAATCCCACAAACAGCAAATTGATCAAGTTGCAAAAGAATAAACATGCCTCTCTATGATGACTTAAAACATTTAAAACGATATGTTACATTGTTAAGAGATGTATCTACAGAAAGGAAAAAATATAAAGAAGTCCAAGGAAATAAAGCCAAATGCGTCTTGGAAGAAGGAAGGGAATGTAATTGGGGAGAGGTATACAAGAGACAAAGTAAAATGTCTATTTCTTAAATGGGTGGGTTCATATCTGAAACAGAAGATATAGTCCTTTGTTTCGTCTCAAGTTACCTTGACTGTCGCCACCTCACTCACCGTGATGAATAATGCCCCGGTCTGCTAATTTCTGCATGAGTTTAATTGCCGTCTCTCTGTCAGAAGCCTCTTTGTGTTCAATCAGCCAGTCAATCAGTTCTTTCGCAACAAAACAGTTTGGGTAGGTTTTGAGATGATGTCGCCTATCTTTAATAACCTTTTCTTCATGCAGCCTGAGCCTGGAAAGAAAATTTGGCGATCAGTTGAGGAATTTTGATAACACATTATCATTAAGCCAATCCCAGAGAACAGTACAAAATGGAAGCCTGAGATGCATCAGAGTGCCATCCAAATACCTTTATGTCAGTGGGTGATTGCCATACTGTCAGAGCCCAGAGGCCCCAGGAAGTGATTCTACCCACAGACCTAGAGATGATACAGGCAAAGGGGAGGGAAACCCAACCACAGACAACCTAGACCTCTCCTGTCACTCAGGAGACTGAGAAAAGCTTTCTCACCCCTACTCTGTCTCACTCCCTTCTCTCTCTCTCTCCACCGGTGGGCTTATGGTTTCAACCAACTAACAAACAAGACTCTAGAAACTTGCTGAAACGAGGTACTTCCTCTTCATCACAGACTGCTCAGGATCCACCATATTTGAATTCATTCAGTCACGTAACAAATATGAATGAGTGTCTACCACCTGCCCATCAGGCACTTGCAAGCATTAGAGACATACATAGGAAAATGGGCAAGATCCTTGCCCTTGCTGGCCTTGTTTTCCTAGGGGCAACAGCTAATCCTTTTGTGAGGCTCTTTACATAGATTAAATCACCTAATGCTCAAAACAACCTCATCAGAAGTCATTATTACTATCTCCATTTTTTTTTTTTTTTAACAGCAAACAGAACTGAGGTCTCAGAGAGATTAGGTGACTTGTCACACAGCTAACAAATAGTGAAAGTGAGATTTGAACCCCGATGGTCTCACTTTAGAATCTGGCTTTCCAACTGCCACATCATGTTGCCTCTCACGAGGTAGGGATAACTGAAGAATCCAGAAGAGATGGATAAAAGCTGTTGGACAAATACAACTTATTTACAGGCTGCCAGATTATCCTGGAGAAAAGTAAGTGACACAGAGTCTTCCCTGGCTCTCTTCAGAACCCAGTGATTTTTTTCCAAAAGAGTCTTAAACCTGTCTCTAAAAAAAAAAGTTTCTATCATTTGTCTTCCTTTCTTTTATCAGCCCTACGTTTACTTTTTAATTCTCAAAGGAAGGACTGAATTGGGTGAAACAGGAGGTAAGTTTTCTTCCTATTCAACCCATGTGACTCCTATGCTTCTTACATCATCATCTCAATGTTGTTGAGAAATGGGATTGACTGAGTAAATCACACAGTAATCATGTGACCTGGGCAAGTGACTTAATGCCTCTTTTTTCCTCTGTAAAATGGAGGCAATCATGCCTACCCTGTCCTTGGCAATGTTGACATTTGGGGCATAATGTCTGTTAAGTACCAGCAACACAGTACAGTACCTGACACATAACAGGTCCCATCCACCTTTCTTCCATTTCCTAAGGAAGGAACTAGGTCCTACTCTTGCCTGTTTTTTTTGTTTTGTTTTGTTTTTTTACGGTACGCGGGCCTCTCACTGTTGTGGCCTCCCCCATTGTGGAGCACAGGCTCCGGACGCACAGGCCCAGCGGCCATGGCTCACGGGCCCAGCCGCTCCGTGGCACGTGGGATCTTCCCGGACCGGGGCACGAACCCGTGTCCCCTGCATCGGCAGGCGGACTCTCAACCACTGTGCCACCAGGGAAGCCCCCTGCCTGTTTTTTGAACAGAGTGCACTGAATGGAATTTAATGGGTTTTGATAGCCCAAGGGTTGTGATTATGAGTTGGGAGCATACTGGGCTGGAACTCTGAGGCCTAGATCCTCTTCCTTTCTAGACCACTGTTATAGGCTGAACTGGGTTCCTCTGAAATTCATGTGTTGAGGCCCTAATCCTTGGTACTTCAGAATGTGACTGTATTGGAGATAGGGTCTTTTAAAAGGTAATTACATTAAAATGAGGTCATTAGGGTAGGCCCTCATCCAATAGGAGTAGTGTCCTTATAAGAAGTGGAGATTGGGCTTCCCTGGTGGCGCAGTGGTTGAGAATCCGCCTGCCAATGCAGGGGACACAGGTTCGAGCCCTGGTCCGGGAAGATCCCACATGCCGCGGAGCAACTAACCCCGTGCACCACAACTATTGAAGCCTGTGCACCTACAGCCCGTGCTCCACAACAGGAGAAGCCACCACAATGAGAAGCCCGCTCACCACAACTAGAGAAAGCCTGTGTGCAGCAATGAAGACCCAACGCAGCCCAAAATAAAATAAATAAAATAAATAAATTCTTTAAAAAAAGAGAAAAACAATGAACATCTTAAAAAAAAGAAGTGGAGATTAGGACACAGACATGTGGAAGGAAGATCATGTGAAGACAGGAGGAAAGCGCTGTCTACAAAGCAAGGAGAGAGGCCTCAGAAAAACCAATCCTGCCAACACCTTGATCTCAGATTTTTATCCTCCAGAACTGTGACAAAGTAAATTTCTGTTGTTTAAGCCACTCAGTCAGTGATACTTGGTTATGGGAGCCTGAGCTAAGACAACCACCAATTGCCAAAGAGGCTCCTGAGTGGTCTGGGGATGAAGGGCCCAGCTGGGGGAAGGGAAAGGAGAAGAGAGATGAGAGTCCTTACAGATATAAACTGCATAGAAAGAAAAGAACCATTTTAATGGAGTTGTTGCTGTATGCTCAGTAGTGTACTAAGTGTTTTCACATGAACTGACTTAACTGCTATAGCCTGAATGTTTGCACAAATTCACACGTTGAAATACTAAACTCTAAAATGTCACTTATGAGAACAGTCAGGAACACAGGGCTTGGCTCTCATCTTGACACTGCCAGTAATTCCAGATGACCAAACTTCTGAGCATCAGCGTCTGCATCGGTAAAATGAGGATAACGGCAGCTACCCTGATTACCTCGGCACACAGTCACAAAGCTCATTAACAAGAATAAAGATAGCATTTGAGCCCTTACTATGTGCCAGGAACAGTTTTGACTGCTTTATTTATTTATTTATTTATTTTTGCGGTACGCGGGCCTCTCACTGTTGTGGCCTCTGCCGTTGCGGAGCACAGGCTCCGGACGCGCGGGCTCAGCGGCCATGGCTCACGGGGCCCAGCCGCTCCGCGGCATGTGGGATCTTCCCGGACCGGGGCACGAACCCGTGTCCCCCGCATCGGCAGGCGGACTCTCAACCACTGCGCCACCAGGGAAGCCCTTGACTGCTTTATTGGCATTAACCCCCATGACAATTCCCCGAGGCTGGTAATATTACAGCCACAAATGATGCCAAAGTAGAGTTGTAATTATAAATAAAAAATAAATGAGCCCTAATAAAAAAAAAAACACATTCACATCGGTGTGCTAAAGTCATCACATGAATCCCTCTAATTAATTCAGTGACAAAGACACTGAGTAATTTGTTTAACATGCTCAAGGTGGCAGAATGCAAAACATTAAGTTTTAGACGGGATGTCTGTCAGGAATCTAAGAATAATGAAGACCAATTTATTTAGAAATTGAAATATGGAAAAAGCAACCATATAATTTGGTGGAGGAGGAATATGTTATGAGCCGAGAGACAAGTTTCAGCTCCTGTAAATTTTCCAACTTCAAAAAAAATGTATTAGGTAATGTTTAACTTTAATTACTACAGAATAGAACCTTTCAGTTACTATCCTGTCAACCCTGAGCTTGGTGCTAATTCTTAAGCATACTTGATTCCCTCTGATTCCCACCCTGCACAGTAAGAAGAAGCATTGGTCACTACCCCCGCAGCCCCACAAGGACCTGGTATATTTCCATGTTTAGAAAACTGAGCAGAAATATGATAGAGGGGAAAGAACTTTGAATCTGGGAGATAGCACAGAACTTGATCTTTTTAGACATGTTACCAGGGGTTAAAAATGTTCAATAACTGTGCTACCATCTGTTTTTCTTTGATAGAGACACAGAATTCTAAAAATGAGCATTAAAAATTATATATTCCAGAAAAGCTATCCCAATAAAGAGGTAAGAATTTTCATACGCTAAATAACCAAGTGTTTTGCCTAGCACTGTGGGTACTTAATAAATATTTGGTGAACAAATAAATATACAGGGGCACTAAGAGAAATGACACCCCTTTCTAAAAGGTAGGGAGGCTTCTCACTAAAAAAGTGGGAGTTGCCACCCCACAACTTAGTAAACATCTAATATCATGGAATGCATCTTTTGTAAAATAACTATTTATATGCTTTCACTTCTAGGGCAATCAATTTCCAAAGTTTTAATCCCTGTTGTGTGGATGTAAATGTGGTCTGTTGGTTTGTTTGTTTGTTTTGGCTGTGCTATGTGGCTTGTGGGGTCTTAGTTTCTCGACCAGGGACTCAGCAGTGAAAGCGTGGAGTCCTAACCACTGGACCACCAGGGAATTCCTATGTATATGTGTTTTTTTTTTTAAAAAAAAGCATTTCCGTTTATTTGAACTCAAGTTACTGCTTACAAATTTCCACAACACTTAATACACTAATATGCGTGGAGATCATCAAGAAGGATAGGCAATATTTCAAAGTCTTGTGGAAAAACAGAAATTTTGCGTAGTTGAGCCTCTCATGGAACAGCATTCTCTAGAAAGACTCTGTAAGATACTGAACCGGGGCTGAAAGCCATACTTTCAAACATGGTGTGTTGCCTGGACACGTCAGTCAGTCACCTTGTCTGCCATGCTCAACAGCCCCTTCGATTCAAAACAGCCTTCCCCACACCAGGCAGGGTTCAAACACCCCATGCCTGTTTTCTTTGCACAGGGCGGTGCCTGCCTGGAAGAGCCCTTGACTTACAGAGGCCCCTGCACACGCCCACCAGCAGTTCAATGAGGGCACCAAGGCCACAAGATCCTACCCTATTCAAGTGACAGTAATTAGCTAAGCCAAGCAGAATGGCTCCATCCAAGATTTAAACTAGAGCTGAAGTTTTCAGACCCTATTTGTGCTGGGACACTTTTTTCAAGTGGAACTTACCTAGGAGTCAATGTAGAAAACAGAGCAATGTGGAGTGCCCTGGCTAAAAGTGGGTAGGGCTCCCAGGTCCAGGATGTTTCCTGGTTCTCCCATGTATACCCTCCACATCCCCCAGACCAT